GGCAAAGGGGAGTTGGAGAGACTGGGGAGGAGAATATTTGTCTCTTGAGACAGAAATGTGGGACCCTCTTCGTCTTGGTGTCATCCTTCAACCAGCAGCTTCCCCTGGGGGACCCCCAGGCAAGGCTAGGGCAGGAGCCATGGGGAGGCACGAGAGCCTAAACGAAGAACTGGTGTGGCCGGGCTGAGGACGGAGGAAGGGCCTTATGTATTTCGGATGCCCAGGGCCTGCTCCAGTTCCTGCCGTCTCTGTTGCACCTGGGGGGGGAAAGGAGAGGGAGGCTGGGGGCAAGCAGGCCTATAGGTTGGGACCTGACATCCCCGACTTCCACATGGGAAGTAACAGGCCCAGGCTGCTTGCTCTGTCAGTTCTCTTTTGGTCTCCTCAGGTACCTACCTTAGAGTAGAAGTATCTGCATACAGCCTCCTGAGCCCATGGCTGGAAGTAGAACTCAGCTCGGCGCTCCTCCTCTGGGTTACCCACTACATCAGTCATGGTCTAGAGAAGTGGGGAAGGGCAAACTCATTCTTAGTCTAAGCTATCACTCCACACCTAGATTAGTAACAGCCTCACAGGTGTACTCCTTGACTTCAGGCTAGAATAAGTACTCTTAAGTGCTATTCACCAGTCATTCTCTTACTCAAACATCTTTAATGGCTCTTTGTTTCCAATTCTACCATCTAAACATCTCTTCCTAATTTTCAAGAGACTCCTCTATAACCCGCCCAACCTTATTTTACTTATTACCTGTTTTAGACAGATTAGTCTCTGAGCTATCCCATCAGTCTAATAGTGGTCATACTTGGTTCACGGTCCCTCCTCCTTAAAATGCTCTTCTACCCTCCCAATCTGAATTCTACTCATCCTCTAAGATGCAGTCCAAGTTCCATCTTTTCCATGAAGCATTCCCTGACTAGCCCAATCTTCATTGATCTCGTTCTCCTCTGAATTCCTAGCACAATTCACATTTATAAAAAAGCTTTAAGGTTTTCCAAGTGCTTCAGTCACAACAATCTCTACCATATAATTATATACTGTTTTTGCATTGTTTGTTACTGTTGCTTTATATGAATTGGTCTTGCCTCTCCAATTAGAGCAAGGACCCAGCTAGGCGGCACAGTGGATAGAGCACCGGCCCTGGAGTGAGGAAGACCTGAGTTCAAATCCGACCTCAGACGTTTGACACTTACTAGCTGTGTGACCTTGGGCAAGTCACTTAACCCCAACTGCCTCAACAAAAATAAATAAACAACGAGGGCAAGGACCATACTGAGTACTTCTATATCATCCACAGCACCTAGGACAGTGCTGATTGCATAGCAGGCAATGCAATAATATCTGTTGATTATTTAAACCTCCATTTCCCTACCTAAAATTAAAGAGCATGAAATCTTTAGGAATCTGGTTCCGACAGCTACTTCTCCTGTTCCTATCCCGGCAGAAATAAGACAAATTTGTGACCCCTGTCTGAATGCATTACCTTCAGATCCCGGCACTGGGACTGAAGCCAGTCATTGATGAAGCCCTGAGGGTCTCTTGCAAAACTCAGCATGAACTCTCTCTGGGTTTTCAGCTGGTTGATGGTCTCTATTGTCTCATGGATCTAAGGATAAGGATATGCTTAAACAGTCTGGATTTAAGAAAATCATGGTATTTTTTTCTTATGAATATCATCTTTTATTTGTATAGTGCTTGATAGTTTGCAAAATACTTTCACACGTAGTATCTTCTCTGATCTCACCACAGGGAAATGGAGCAGATGGTATGAGTCCCACTTTACAAATTAAAGAAACTGAGGGTCAGAGATGTGAAGTGACTTCACACACGCAAAGCCAAGTATTCAGTAAGGAGCAAAATAAGGACTACAAGCCAAGTCTTTTAACTTTAGTTCAGAGAACTCTTCCCTGTACTATGATCGCTTTCCGAGGTTAAAGGCAGGTGCTCCTTCATGACTCATCTGTGCTACTCCGTACTCTGGAAAAGTCTGCTTCACAACATGATTCACATATAGCTACGTACATAGTGAACCTTTAGTTCACCACTCTGTCTCAAAAAAAAAAATCTGAGGGCAGACAAGTCTGTAAAGTGGGTCCTTGAGGTCTATGAAGAGGCAAAACTGGCCTAGCGACTCTGACTAGGAAAACCCATGGCACCCAAACTACCTGGGCAGAGGATCTTACCTTGTTGTCGAGAGCAGCAATTTCCTGCTGGCTTGCAGTAGATAGCAGGAAGGAGTTCATCTGGGTCTTAAGGGTATCATCCACTTCCACATCAATGTCATAACAGGCAGTTTTCTTCTGGTCATTGGGGTCAACACTGAGAAAGAAATCATAGTAGTGTGGTGAAAGGAATGCCTCCAAAAACGCAGTTACTGAGGTCTAGAAAGAGGCTTCTAATTCTGTATCTCTGAGATAAGAACAGTCTAGCTTCTAGTGATCCAATTCACACTGTTTGCAGAACCTTGGGTTACATGCTAGGTGATGGTACCCCAACGAGAGAGAAAAAGAACTGAACACCGAAGCAATGAAACCTGAAAAATGGTCCCAGGCTCGGCTATAAAAAGAAGTCACTTTAAGGCTATGAGGCTCTGGAGATGCCTTCCTCATTCAACCTCTGCCCAAGAGTGAAGGGGGAAAATGGAGAACTTCAGCTCCTGCCTCCTCATTACAGGAAAAAGAAGGCTTGAATCCTCCCACCCTCCAGTCCCTCGCTCTTCAGCAAAGAAATGTCTTGTTGTCTTGTTGCTACCATGCCCCCACCTGATGACGTGATTAATGATGATGGGCTCTGGTGGCATAAGCAAGGCATGGAGCCGCTGGGGGATCTCTGAGAACTTCATCCGTTGCGACTCGAATATCTACAGGAAGAAGCAATTTAAGGCTGAGGACACATAGGGTCCCTGCCAGAACACAGTGTACTCTAACTGAAGAGCAGAACCCTCACTCACCTGCTGGAGGTATTTATCACAGATAACGAACTCCCGTTCGTGGGGGTCCTGAAGCTTATGAGTCTTGATGTACTGCCACAGTGCTTGGATGATCACTGGACGTGTCTGTGTGTGGATACCCAGGAGCCGGGCCAGGCGGGGGTCCAATTTAAACTGAGGAGGCTACAGAGACAGAAGGGTAACGGAAAGGTATGGGCACAGTTAGCCAAACCTGTCTGCATCTTCGAGGACTTGGGAAAGATGGGTAGGGAAGAGATGACTCATAGTTTGGCTAGAACTAATAGGTAATGAGATGAGGCTAGGAAAACAGAACTCTTCCCCCCACAATACCTGGTAATCGAGCATCAGCAAAACAGTGCAACGAACATTTACATCTCCTGGCCGCTTCACCTGGAAGCCATCTGTCTCCTGGGTGGTAGCAGTCCTGTGCCACTAGGGAGAGAAATAGATCAGGGGCTGCTCTCCCAAAGGAAGAACAACACTGGTGGGAGGAACATCTTTTTACTGAAATTTGATTAATTTTGGGTTTGTTTTTTTTTTTTTACACCACACTCATTTCCCAAAAAACTTCTTTTGTTAATAACTATATTCAAATCAATCTTTTTGTGCTGTTGAAAGGGAATGATAATGCAGGGCAATAAAAAGCAACAACTTGTATTTGATTCTGAAATTTTTTTTGGCAACATATTTTACTTTTAATTTGGTTGACTTATTAAAATTAGCTTATACTGTTTGAGCAAAAAGCTAAATAAACGAAAGTTTCATAAATAGAAAATACTTAAAGTATCAGTTAGCTACAGGTATGTAGCTTGTATGTAGATACGTAGTTGATTCCATGCCTTGCTTCTTAGACAGTGAGCTTACTGAGGGCAAGGACAATGTATGTTCTATCTCCCAAGCTCCTGGTGCTTGGCTATGCCTCTTGCGACTTCAACTGATATTCACTCACTGCTGGAGAGTCCAAGACCCTTAATACCACCAGCTCTGTCTGCTCCTTGTTATAGCCAAAGAAAGGCAGCCAATCTAAGAAGTTTAAGGCAGAAGAGAATGGGGAGCTAATTGTGTACCGGCAAAGAACAAAGTGAAAGAGTGGAGAAAGAACTGGCATCAGTTAAGACCTGGATTTAAGTCTCATCTTTAGCACACAGCAGACATGTGATGCTGAGTGACTCATTTAACCTCTCAATGCTCCAAGTAACTCTCTAAGACTCAAAGTTTCAGAGTTTGCACTGATCTGCATTGGCAGAGGGAGTTTCCTCATCAGTTCTCTATAGCAATGAAGTCACAGGTCCAGTTTAAAAAAGAAAAAAAGTAGCGGTGGAAAACTCCATCTGGAGCTATGGATGTGATGAGCCACCCATTCTGATGTTGACTTGGTGGATATCCAAGGGAATAACCATGTTTCTAACTTGATCTATGTAACAACTAACTGGGCAACACTTACAACTAGGCCCATAATAAATGATCTTTTATAATAATCATTCATTGTCTGTAGAGTTAGAAAAACTCTCTGCAATAAAACCTAGAAAGAGCCAGGGGCTAATGTGGAAGGCCCAGAACTGAGAAAGATGTAACCAGCAGAAAAAACTTCTGTTGTTCCAACTGACACCATGAGCTAGAGCAACTCCCCCCAGGAAGAAGCATTAATGGGTTTTAAAGTGACACATGATCTCACAGGTGGCAAGCAGGATGGGGCGCTAGCTGGCTTTGGACGTGGGTATAATCAAGAGGCCCCAGCTAGGATTTCTGGGAGGGGGGAAGGAGGAAGAGGAGAAGGAAGGTGGGGGGAAGGAAAAAGCTGAACTTGTATATGCCTAAGAGATTGTAATAGCAAAGAGGCAAAATGTCAAAGGTCTTCTAGCCTTGGGATGAACAAGCTCCCCGAGCTCAGAACTAAATGAGATGGTGCCCCCTGGAGGCCAACGGACAAACTAGAAAGGATAAATATTTGGTGTGGAGGTAAGGTATACCTAGAACAATCTCTTGAATTTCTCTTGGACTTATATTTCTCTCCCATTACCTTAGGTATTCCAGACTTGGATCCCAGTTCCCTCAGCCCCATCCATGTCAGAACCTGGACAAATGAACTACTCACTTCCACCAGGTGGTTGTCTGGCCCGTATAAATCTTTGTCCAGCTCAATCACCAAAGACTTAAAGAAGGAGGAGAATTTACGCTTCTGCTTGGTAGCATCATATTTAGACAGAGCTGACTGAAGAAGAGCACAAGAGAAAAGCCATATTAGGGAAGAAAAACCAGAAAATGCCCAAAACAAGGCCCACGGCCAAAGAACCCACAATGATACTGGGATGAGTTCAAGCCCAATGGAATCAGAAATGATTTCCAAATATTTTTATTGGGGGATGGCAGGTTGATGTCTTGGGCAACAAACCAGTCATAGTGACATCGAAACCTTGGAAAAACAATTTGTAACATATACATGGTCATTTAATCACCCACCCCACTCCCAAGGGAAAAATACTTCTGGGAATGAAGCAAGGAGTTCTAATATCCACATTTAGGAACAGAATAAATTCGAGGAGAATAAAGCCTGACTGGAGGGAAAAGTGAATCATGAGCAATAGCAGCAAGAACAAAAACGGTTTTACCGGGACAGAATGACAACACAAGCAGATGGAATGCACTTATGTATATGGGAAGGAAGCTCTGATACAGAGCTCCAGTTCTCTGTGCAAAATTCACTCAAAATAGCTTGGCTATAAGCAGTAACCATGGCTGAAAACAGGCTAGGAGGTAAACAATGGAAGTAACGAGGAAAAAGTAAGCTTCCCCAAGGAGCAAGTGGGGGTGGGAGGTCTAGGGGCTTACAACCCCCCAGTTGGTGCTCAGCATGAAATAATGAATAGCATGTCAGAGAAATCTGCCTGTTCTAAATCATGATGTGTTCTCAGTAACAGCAGAGAGAAGGGAGATCACACAGTGGGAATTAAGGATCCTAAGGATTCAGACAGGAAGTCATGGCCTGAAATGCCATATGGGGGGAAAACCTGCAAACTCACTTGATAAATAAGCCCAAACCAAGGTAATCAGCAGAAACCTGGGAAACCATTAATGGCCAGAACGAGCCGAGGGGGGAAGTGAACAGCAAATCAGATCACAGGACAATAGTGTTCTCAACACGATATGGCAGTGAAGGCCAAAGCTGTGGGAGCTGCACACAAAGAGCCATTGTCTTCCAACGCAAGGAGCCGAACGTCCCTCTCCCTGCTGCTCTGGAAAGGAGTTGTGAGCACCATTCAGGGTCCCTCCAGACCAGAAAGACATTGCTCTTCTCTAGATGCCCCCACCCCCAGGCCCTACCAGTGTGAACTTCACACTCACATCCTCGAGGAGCCGTCCTTCTACCCGAAGCTCCCAGGAGGCCACAGTTCCTTCCCCATCTTCAGCATCCGATTTAGCTGGATTGAAAGTATTCGAAATGAAAATACGAAGTTTCCGTTTTTGCTGAAGAGGGTGGAAACAAAGATTAGTACAGAGCTTTGAAAACAATACTGCGCCCTAACCATTCAATTCCACCAAACCAAACTGCTGTCTGCCCAGTCCCTTGGGGTGGGATAGAGATTCCAACTAGGAGAAGTGAATGGGCAACCAGCCCTGAGTGCATAAATAAGGCTGCAAGACCAACAAAGATATTCACAGTGCCAACAGGGTTCCTGGGTGAAGGAAGCAATTACAACAGTGACATGGAAAGTACAAAGATTTCTGGTGAAACAGTGGGTCCTCCTCTCCTTTTTCTATTCTGGTACTTCTAATAAAATCAGCTATTAGGCAAAAGGGAAACTTAAGTGCCTGGGAGATCTATATTGAGCTTTTAATTTCTCATTCTTAGATTGCTGAAGGTTCTTGAATCCCTCTCTGCTGGCTCTTTGCCTAAGAGTTTCCTGTACCTTGATAGGTCGTTTCAAGGCCTCCTGAATATCTAGCCGTTTTCTCATGATGGTCTGATCCAGTTTCCTTTCAAAAGCCAAGAGATCCATATAGGCCTGGGATTCTGGTACCAGCTCACGAATCTAAAGGGTAGTAAGACATAGTTAGGTATATAAAATTTGCTTTCAAACTCATGGGTACTAGGGGCCCTAGGGGAGACTGAGGACAGGGGGTAGGTGTGCTGGACTCACCCTTTGAGGTAGAATTTTGTCAGCCATCTTCTTTTTCTTTGCACTGTTCAGAATAAACATTGGTATTAGGCTGGGATGGAACTGACCAGAACCTGAAAATGGGGAGGGCAGCACCCTCATATGGATGCATAAGAAAGAGGAAAAGGGGAGCCCATGGACTGAAAAGCTTCTTTCAGATCATAGAAAAATCCCCCCATCCCATGACAAACTCAGATAAGGTAGTTTCATGAGAAAATAATGATATGTTACATAGGTTTATAGTCACAGTCCCCACTTTCTGCTGCTTTCCCCACCTATGTCTCCACAGAATTCTTTTTACCCTTCCCAGAGGAGTCTTACTTGTGATTTCGATTCTGGACCGCCTGCTGCTGGACCTGCTGGATCTGCTGAGGAGCTGGTCTCTTTCGGGACTGATCTATTCCTGACTGGGCCAGACCAGGTCGAACTGAAGGGCTCCCCCCATAGCCAGGAGGTCCCATAGAAGGTCCCTGAGGTGTCATACGGCTCCCTGGCAACATGCCTGGACGCTGTACATGAGACACAACACAGAAATGTTATAGCTGTCTGAGCTGTGGGAGGGGGATGTTAAAAAGCTATGTTTTAACATACCTTGGTGAAAGGTATGAGGAAAATGGGAGAACCCTAGAACCTTCTATCAACGTGAGCTAAACTGGGGCTTCCTTCTATGAATGTGGGCTGAGGCTTCCTTCACCCAGGATCCTGGCTCCAGAGAAGAGCACTGCCCAAAGGTCCAAGAAAAGGCCAAGGGATGAGACCAAGGTAAAATTTTATCTAGCCTAACCCCAAACTGCAATTTCAGAGTTCTCTTCCAGCTCCTTTAATGAATGAAGATGCCTCCTTGCTATTCTGAGATATCCTTGTTACCTCTTTCCCTTAAGTCTCCTTAAGTTAACTTGCCTATCTTTTCTTTGGGGTTCTTCTTTTCTAATTGATATCTCTTTGACCACTATCCCTTCAACAGTTATCAGGACTACTTGGACTCCCCATCCTACTGGAGTTCTTAATTTTCTCCTGTATACTAGGCCTCGTTCATGCTCTCCTCTATTACCTAACTCCATACTCTTCCAATTAAACAGAACCAAAGCCTGTTAAGAATTAGACTGAACCTTAGAGATCATCTTGTCCATCTCCCAAATTTTAACAGTGAGGAGGCTGAGACACTAAGGAGTTAATGGATTTACCCAAAGGTATATAGGAAATTAATCCTATGGACTAAGTGGAAGCTGGACAGGGCCTTAGCTCAACTCCTCCATTTTACAGATGAGGAAACTGAGGCCAGAAGGGCTAAGTAAACTTGCCCAAGATCACATAGGCATAAAGTGGCAGGGCCGGGGTTTGAACCCAGCTCCTCTGCCCTCTGTCCACTGACTTGAATCTTCTCCCATGTTACAGGCCTCCCTAACCCCGCACAGGGAGAGATGGAGCCAGGACCAGAAGCATCTGGTTCTGCGGCTCACTCCACTCCCCAAAGCTGCCCCGCCATGAAGATCTCAACCCTCATCTTCCCTTCCCGCCCTCTGGGTACCAATACGAACTGCCCTTTACTTCTCCATCCTTCCACCGTCACCTTCTTCCCTGCTCGCCCCCCTCCAGGACCCCTTCCCCCACGGCCCTTTCTGCCACTCACTCGCAGGTCCCGCCCCCTGTCCGCGCGCCCCTCCTCCTGCCTCCCCTCTTCCCCGCCCCCACTCACCGGATAGGCTGCTCCGGGCATCGGGGAGCGGTAGAGCCCTTGGCCGGGTGCCGGGCCCATTCGCACTGGGGGCCCCGGAGTCCCACCCGGGCCCAAAGCGGCCGCTGCGCCCGCCCCTGACGCAGCTCCGGTGCTGCCGCTCGGAGCCACTGACTGGAAACCAGCCCGGGCCGCCATCTTCCCCCGGAGCCGCTGCCGCCGCCGCACAAAGAACCGGAACCGGAACTCCCCCCTCTCTCGGCCACTCTCCCTTCCCCCTCCCCCTTCCCGACCTCCAGAGCCTGCCCGGGATATGGAAGGGGAGGCTTCGAGCAACGAGACTGCGGGCTAGAAGGGGGTGGTGGAAAAAGGGAAGCGGGCTGTCCCCTCTTCCTGGCCTCCTCGCCCTGGGAGGAGAAACCAGCGAGAAGGAGCGGTGGGGGAGAGAGGCCCTGCGCCGCGCCCCCTGCCGGCCGGAGGGCAGCCAGGCGCGGAGCCTCCAGGTCCCGGCGCAGTGGGCAGCTGGTACTACTACCCCGCCCTTGCGGGGATGGGTGGCGGGCCCAGGTCCGGCAGCAGTGACCGTGGGAATAACCGCAGTCACAGAACACGGCCCCCGTGTGCAGCGCTTGCAGAAACGCTTTGCTATCCTCACGTTATCTTATCTCATCCGGGCGAGGCTCTCAATCTCCCTTTTTGCTGATAAGGAAACTGAGGCTCAGTGACTTCACTCCCTAGTCTTGGTATAGCGCTTTAAGGTTTGAAAAGCGCTTTACAAACATCTCGGGTTTTTATCCTCACAACAACCCTGGGAGGTACCCTACTCCAAGCTACTAATTTATTTTTCCAAAGACCCTGTCTTCCCCACCAGCTACTAACCTTTAGGTACTCCCAAGCTTTACTGGACCTAGACTAGCCAGGAAGACCTGAGCTCACAGTCAGGCCTTAGGCACTAATTAGCTGTGTGACCCTGGGCGAATCACTTTCCTAACTCCAATTTCCTATAAAATGGGGAGATTGACACTTGCAATTTACATTATAGTTACTGTGACGTTCCAATGAGAAAATTCATATAGCTTTTTTTTTAAGTGTATAAAAGTTCATGTACATATTATTATTTAACCTAGACCTAAACTACCTTGCCCATTCCCATAGAGCCTTTCTTGGGGAATTTCCCTGTTCCACCTCCTCCCTCTCCCTGAAACTCAAGCTCACTGTTGGTCCTGTGTTAAGCAGGCTTAGCTCAATAGGGCAGAGATCTTTGGCCTACAAATGGCCGTGCAGGCCCTCTCAGGGTTTTTTCCCTCCTGGCACGCTGGTGCCAAACCCAGCAGTGTTCTAAGCCTTGTGCATTGTGCCGGGTGGTATTTAACACATACTTATTGAACCAATTAATGAACAATTAATAACAACACTGTGAGGGGAGATGGTTGAAACCCAGTTTATTAGATCAGAGGAGTGTCTCACCCACAATCCTGCTCACTGCCACCACTGCTGCTTAGAGCATATTTCCTCCTGTTTCTCTACAGAGAGGCCTGCTCTCTCTCCAAGTGACAGCCAGGAACCAGGTGTTTATGGACTCCCAGCAATGTCTTCCTCCCCAATCCCTACCATTTCCCCAACAAATGGGATGGAGAGGGGAGAATAAGTATCTCCTAGAATTAGGTCAGTGGCCTCATCTTCATCATCAGAGGCTATGTTGGCTGGGGCCTTCTCCCAGGGAGCTCTAAGCAAGAGGGCTTTAGGATGGAAGGGATATTTCTGGACCATCTGAGATAGTCAGAGAAAGATGAATGAAAGGTGCAAACCTCATTTTCATCCTATTTCTCAGGGGGAGGATGGGGAGATGGTTAACAGCATAAGCTCCCAACTCTTCCTCTAGTCCTACCTCATTATCAAGTCCAGCCTTGCCCCTAAAATTTGAGCAATGGTGGTAAAGGCTTGGACCCCAGGTAAAGAAAGAGAGAGTAGGTAGTCAGTAATGGGGAGAATTTGACCCTAACCAACACAGCCTTGGGGATAAGGGCCTTAGACACTATCTCCTAGCCACCCATATATTTCTCAGTGGCTACCCTTAGAAGCTATGGGTTGTTTCCCACCTTTACACTGTCTCTGACACCTTATCTCCATGCTCCAGGTACTCCATCATCTATAATTTTCCTTGGCTTGGGGCCAACAGGGAGTATCCATCCTCTGAGCTAAGTGCCAATTCTCTGTGTCCACCCCTTCCCCTAGGAGGAAAGTCCCAGTCAGAAGGTGGATAACAGGACTGATAGGAAGGAAGGAAGAGGCCTTAAGGCTACAGGGAGGGCAGAGAGTGCTGGAAGCATAGGAAAATTGGGTGGAGGGGGTCAGGCCAGAAAGAGGCAGAGCTTGTGATTCACAGCTTCCTTTATGTCCAAGACAGTGAGAGAGTTACAATGCGTACGTCGTCTCCTTGTGCTTCTCAGGGGGATGTGTGTACACAGTACAGACACCGGAGGAGAGAGTCCAACACTTTATACAGGTGAAGGCATTCAGAGGGATTGGTAGTAGGGTGGTCAGAGAGACAGAAGGAGATTTGGGAGGAAGTAGGGATGGGACTGAGAGACACAGGGGATGGGGATGGGGATGGGGATGGGCAGAGACAGACGGGCTGAAGGAAGGGAGTATATACAGAGTTATAGCAATATAGAGTCTGTATCATATAGAAATAGAAAATGCAGATGAAGTCATAGAAAGAAACGAATGGAATAGAGGACAAAGACTTGGGGAAATTCCATAAGAAAATTTATGGATGTGGTCCCGTGCAAGGGACCCCTGGAGGGAGGAACTGAGAGTTAGGAGAGAAATAGGTGCCAGTTCCCCTCTCCCTGAGTTGGGAATCAAGTGCCTACGTCTTTTTCATGGGATGAGGATGAAGAATCCCATTCAAAAATTTCTCTGATTTTAGGGTAGGGCCAGGGCATGTTGGCATGAAACCTGTGCCATGTCCTGTCCCAAGTCCCTCAGGGAACACCATCCATTCCTTGACCTCTGAGGGGCACCCAATAAGTGTAAGGGAGGGAGGGCCAGGGGCCTCAGTTCCTGCCCTTGTGATTTACAATTGGAGGGGGGGGACACTGTACTGAAAGGGTCTCTTAAGGCTAGGGAAGCCCTCCTCCCCCTTTAGCCCTCCCTCCTAAGGTACATTCTCTGTCTGGGGCCCAATTCAAGACCCCTAAGGAGTCTTTCCACTCATGTTCTCCCTGCTGGGAGAGAGCTTCAGTGAATGGTGAAAGTGGTATGAGGATGGATGTTCAAACAGACATAGGTCAGGCTAGGAGCAGGGGGAGGCAGCACAGGGCATAGAGGGACAGCCTGGGGTCCCTTGCCCTTTCTCTTTGTAGTTTATTTCTGTTGTTATTTGTTTTGTTAAAAATAAAAATGTATGGATATGGAGGGCAAGGGAGTAGAGAAGGGCACTGGACTCAGAACCCCCTTCTACCAGTTCTAGGAGGGAAAGACTTTGAAGGGAGTTGGGAGCTGCCCTTGAAGTGGGAGGGGCAGTGGTAAGCCCCAGGGCAGGTGAGCAGCTTGATCCCCCAGGTTTTCCTTGCCCTCCTCTTCCCTCCCAGGCCTTTGGTATGATGGCTGGCAGGGCTCAGCAGGTAAAGTCCTCAAAGGTGCCTCGGGTCGGATGGTGAGGTAGGATGTTGGCGGCATATGTCATCCCAGCAGGATGGCCCCGGAGGCTCTCACAGGGGTTCTGGGGAGGGGGGAGAAAGAGCAGGGAAAGAATAACTAGGAAAGCAAACAAAGAGGGTGGGAGTGAGAAATGTATTGGATGTGGGTTGGTGAAGAGACATGGCAAAGGAAGAATAGGAGTAATTCTTTACTACCCTGTGCTTCACCCTCATCATCTACCCAAATGACTGAATCTTATTGATACTTCTTTCAGAATGTTTTTTTTGCCCTAACATATATTTCCATTGCCACTATCACAGTCATAACTCTATTACCTTATTCCTAGATTATTACAGTAGTCCCTGAAGTAGTCTCCCTGGTATCTGACCCTTCCAATTAATTCTCCATACCCATATAATATAATGTCTTTGAGGGCAGAAGTTATTTTAAATTTTTGTCTTTGTATCCCCAACACCTACAGTACCTTGCATATAGTAGGTGCTTAATAAATGTTTGTGCATTGTTGAAGAGTCAAAGCAAGGAATAATTTTAGGGAAACATTGGGAATAGTATTATCTTTGGGGTCACCTGGAAGGAAGAGTAGATAGACAACATTGGGATCCCAATGAGAACAGTCAGGAATGAGAGAAGGAAAGAGAATAGAGGAGGTTTTTGGTGTGTATTAGTGGGGAGGGGGAAGAGAGAGCGTTTATTCAAGGTCTCTTACATGTCGCTTGACATCATCCAGGCTGAGGGCTACACCCTTGTCTGCACTGTTCCTTTTAGACTCCTTCTGGCACCTGCCCCGACGGCACAGCTTGTGCTTAATCACCTGGATGGAAAAGAGAAGACCTGCAGTGGGGATGGGGGTCTAGACAGAACTACCCAACTTGGATCCCCAAACACATCCTCCTCTAACAAGTCCCCCTCCCAGTCTCTAGCATTCCCATGCCCATCTCGCTGCCATCTGTTTGCTCCCTTCTCCCATCTGTTGCTCCCTTCTCACCTCATAAGCATAGTCGAAGAGCTCCAGAACAGTCAGGATGCTTGCGCCAATGAACAATCCCATCTGACCCCCAATGTCACCTAAATAGGGAGGCCACCAGGCCCATAGAGTCCATGGCAAAGCAGTGGGATAAGGCACAGGGTTACTGGAGTTGGGCAGAGTGGATTGAATCAGGAGGCTATCAATGGAATCGGAGAGGGGTCCATGGAGTTGGGAAAGGGTCAGTGGTGTCAGAGACACTCTGCTGAAGTTGGGACACAGGCTGGCAATTAAGAGCATGCAAGTTCAAAATAATATTCAAGGCAACTTGTAGTGTATCTGCCCCAGCAAAAAAGCTCCCAGGTAACACCTGTTTCACCTCATGAGAACAATAGCTTGCTCTTACTCTACTCACAATAACCAACAATCTACATTCTACCCATCATGTTAGGAGAATAAAGGTTAGAAATGTTTGTGAAAGTAGCATAATCAATAGGGACAGGGAGATGTCACTGAGGTCCAGGAGAGGCCAGTGAGGATGGACAAGATCATGGAATTACTTTGAACTCCCTGCTTAAGGACTAGGGAATTAAACTAGCCTTGGGTGACAGACCAGGTGGCAATTCCCTCAGTAGCTCACCCAGGAGTCCTGCAATCTCATAGGCTTTTTTTTGTTCAATGGTCTCATAGTTCAAGACTTCAAAAAAGATGTCCAGCACCAGGATGTTCTCCCTGCAGTGGAGAAAGTAGAGAGAGAGGAGGGACAGGGAGAAGGGAGTGAAGAATTAGCATGAATGAAATCCTTCCTGTTTTCCTGGTCTTTCCCACCTGGCCCTCATTCCACATCATCTCAGCTTTTCAACTTCTCAACTCTCAGATGACTCCTTTGACCTGTGTGTGCTCAGCCTCTTCCTACAGCAGCAAATAGAGGGATATGATATGTCAGCTCCATTCTCCAAAGAAGTCCCCTTCTGCCAAGTGTTGGCCTAGCTACATTAGGCACACACTCTGGTCTATCTTCACACCCTACACCCAGGTCTCAGACCCAGCTCCAGTCCCAGCCAAGACTCTCACCCAATGTACTGCTCCGACTTGTTGAACTTTTTGGCCAGATACTTGGCTGAGGCTTTGCTGGGAATCTTGACCATGGACAGCTCCTTCCCATAGCGAGTCAGGTTACAGGGCATTTCACACACACAGTAGTCCTGGTCCTTCTCCACCAGGAAATCTGGGATAGGAGTCCAGGAAACAGGAGGAAGTAGAGTGAACCAGGGCACTGGAGACCATTGACCCCATTCCAGGAGCTGTGTTTTCCCCATTGTCCCCCAAACAAACGAAAAGATGCACAAGCTATTTGATGGCTCTCTCTGAGCAAATCTATTTTGCTGGAGCAAAATTTGTCTTGAGCCCTTCATCATTCCTTACCCCTAAAGTCTTCTCCCCTTCTCTATCACCCTAATTCTAAACCTGTCTTCCCTAGTTCATCACCCTATCCTATTCTTCCATCCTGGTATATCCATATGCAACATTTACCAGTCTTAGGTCTCATCCCCTTAGGGTCCAAGCTGTCAGTTGACTGCTTTTATAAGTACAGATTCACCTTCCATTAGGAGAGAGGAAGGGGGAAGGGGCTCTCCCAGCTTAACACAGATGCATTTTCACAGGGGTCTTAAGTTTATTTTCTAACTCTTCATGACCCTGATGTTTGGAATTTCAAGCCAGAAAGTAGGGGGATGGTAGAACTTAGTAAAGAGATATTTGGAGGCAAGTGGGCCTGGAATTAGTTTTGCCTTCAAATAAGAGTAAATCTTGCTCCCCAGTTTTCAAGATATAATATATATATATACACACATACACACATATACATATACATATATACATACATACATATATATATTTTTTTTTTGGTGAGGCAATTGGGGTTAAGTGACTTGCCCAGGGTCACACAGCTAGTAAGTATCAAGTGTCTGAGGCTGGATTTGAACTCAGGTCCTCTTGATTTTAGGGCCAGTGCTCTATCCACTGTGCCACCTGGCTGCCCCTCAAGATATTTTTCCTTTGGACTTCAGTGGAAGTCTTAGACCTCTCCTAGGTCATTGTTTGAGAAGGAAGGATTTAAAAGAAAGGGTGACTAGGGGAGGGGAGAGCAGAACTATAGTTCTTAGCAGTGGAAGGTAAGCTCACCCAGAGCAGGATCTGCACACTCCTTATATTGCTCAGGTGTGCAGTATGGAGCATCACCTACAAAGGAAAGAAATTGGGGGGGGGAGAGAAGAATAAGCGAGAGGTAGAAGACAGGAGACCCTTCCTACACAATCTCAAGCGGTCCACAATCTTATTTCCTTCCCCCTCTTTCCCTCATACTAGGCAAAATTGGAAGGGTGCAAAAGGATAATCAAATGGGAACAGAGACAGATCTAGAAATGGAGAGGGGAGGGGAGGGGAAGAGCCATAAGTCTGTAATGGAGATTACTGGGGAAGGAAGTATAGACCATAGAGTCTATACATAGTGGGGGAAAACACGTTAGTCATATATATTTGTTGAATGAATGTACTATTAAATAAGAGAATGGAGACTATCGAGGAGTTATGTGCAGGAGCAATTGGGGAGGGGACTATGAGGACCTAGAGAGAATGTAAGGGCCAGAGGAAAGTTATGGGCCTTCAGGGAGTAGTTGGAGAAGCTATGAAGCAGTCAATGAGGAGGAAAAACCTTCAGATCCTTCTAGGTGCAGTTAGTGGGTGTGGGAAGAGGAAATTGGGGCTAGGGGCAGACCTGGCATGTGCACCATGCGGCAGTTGCAGTTCTCCACTAGATAACGAGTTTCACAGTCAATTCGACAGGCTGTGATGCTGTATGAGTCAAAGAAATCTGAGTCCATGGTAACAGCTTTACAAGTACCCCAGGGTGGAGGCAGGTAGATGAGCTGTAGGGAAAGTGGGGAAACCAGGGCTAATGGAGGGTAGAGGGAAAATCATCCCAAAGGCCCCCTAACTAATGTTGATGGGGATTCAGAAATCAAGTATTTTTCTTCCCTTTGGTATATTTCTTTACTAACTTTCCATGGCATATATATGGCTAGTTGCCATTCTAAATTCTTGGCCCCAATTCATCCCCCTTGTCTCCTTTACTTGGTTCCTTCCTCCAGTTCTACTCTTTCCCCAGTTTCCAGTTCTAAGTCCTTTCCAGGTCTGAGATCCCAACCAATAGACTGTTTTCTAATGTATGGCTTACCCGTTGCTCCTGGCAAGCCACAAAGGTCTGGAATCCAGGAGCCACACCAAAGCCCAGCTGATCAATGAAAGGCGGCTCGTCCTGACTGTGGATCTGCACCTTGATCCCAGCCTCAAAGGAAGTTTCATCTGTAACAGTAATGTCGGGAAGAGTGCTTACAAAAGGGAGGATTCTTCTGACATGACTTCTTGACATAGTTTACCCCCACCCTTCTGTATCCTACAAATCATTATAGCTAATACTTTGAGACTGGGAGTATTGGGGCTAGAATGCTTATAAGGGAAGGGAGATGGAGGGAAAATGCGGCGAGTTGGTTGGAGTAAGGGTTAAGACCCCCCCAAGATTCTCCTGGAGTCAAAAATCTATTAGGTCTAAGAAGATCCCTACTTGTCACCCTCATCTTCTTTTACTCATCTATAATTCTCTCTCTCTCTCTTTCTTTTTTCTCTCTATCCCTTTTCCCTCTACCTCTTCCTTTCTCTCTCTTTCATCTCTTTCTTTTTTCTCTCTATCTCTTTCCCCCATCTCTTCCTTCCTTTCTCTCTCTCTCTTTCTCTCTTTCATCTCTCTTTTTTCTCTCCATCTCTTTTCCCTCCACCTCTTCCTTTCTCTCTCTCTCTCTTTTCCTGACTATCTGTCCCAAGGCCCCTGAGAGCAGATGGCAGGCAGCCTGAGAGAAGATAGAGTTATTTATAGAGCTGAGTGGCAGTTCCTGATAGAAAATGATGGCTGGTTACCTTGGAGAGGAACTGAGCCAGGATGGAGAGAGAGAGAAAAGAAAGAAGGGACAGATAGGCACACAGGCAGATACTGAGTGTCAAAGAAATGGAGATACAGAAAGATATACAAAAGTGAAAAGGAAGTTCCCTACTCTGGATGCTATAGTCCCAACAGGGACAGGAAACTTAGATTTCCATTTGGGGCTGTGACCGGGGGAAGGCATAATGTTCAGGGCTTAGGTTTGGGGGAATAAATGCTATGATGAAGGAGGGCTGGGAAGATGGTACCCTGAGTAGTGATGGTAGTGGCAGTTGAGTGCCCATACCCGTCTCTCCCCAGACTGGCAGGTACTCATCCTGTTGGATATCCAGCATTATCTCTAGCCCGTTGCCTGTCCCACCCTTCATAGTCTTGAGCAGTGGCCGCCCATCCTGGCCTGCGTTGAATGTGTAGCATTTTCCATAGCGGGTAAAGACCTGGTGGGAGGCAGAGAGACAAAACCTGAGCCTGAGGCTGAGACCCTTCCCCTGTAGAACCTTCTTGACCTGCAATACTAAGACAAATTATCCTGTATTTGCCGAGACTCCTGACCCCTAGAATGATTTTATCCTCCTGGAACTAGCCCTCCTACCTAGATACTGAACCTTCTTGCCCATACCCATAGCACAAAATATCCCCTGCCCCACAATGTGACACTGCCATTCCCTCTGGAATAAGGGTCCCCTAAGTCTTAGTCCTTCAAGCTCAGAGCATGTCCCTCCCATTGACCCACAATCCTGTGTCTCTTGGCCAATAGCTAAACTTTCTGCTCTCCTCCCATTATCAGCTCCTTAATCAATTTATCTCATTATCAATTATAGCACAGACCAAGTTTATTACCTAATCTCTCCCCATATTGTCATACCCATCTCCGTCCCTTGGGCACTAGGGGCCCAATCAGCAGGCACACTCACTAGGTCCTATATCAATCTACCAGTCACACCCTATTGATAACCAAAGCTATCAATGCCTTTGGCCCAAATCCTTGACCTCCAAGGTAGAGAGAGGTCTCCTTAGCCCTCCCATGCTCCACCTCTCCCAAGTAACTCCCCTCATTTTTTTATGCTTTTCTCATTACAGAAAGAGGTAGGGACAGAAACAGAATCAATATGATGAGCTTGGTCTAGTTTACCTGAATATCCATTTCAATATTTGCTACCTCAGCCCTTCCCAGCTGCCTCCTGGGATACTAAGTACCACTAACCAAGAACACATGAAAAGTCATTTCCACAGAGGGCCCAGAAGAAATCTCTGCTCACAGACAGAAAGGCTCTCAACCTACAGTTAGTTTAGCCTTCTCAGTGTTTATTCCATGGTTCCCACTAATCATATCTTTTGATCTTTTCAGGATCCTCTCAGGAGAAAGAAAAAAGATCCTTTCATGGTCTGGCGGATACAGTGCTAGAGGGATTTGGAGTCCTAAACATTTACTGACATTTACTAGCTATGCGACCATGGGCAAATCACAATCTCCCTATGTCCCAGTTTCCTCACCTATAAAATGGGGATAATAATACCTCTAGTACTTACCTCACAAGGTTGTAGTGAGGATCAAATGAGATAATGTATGGAAAGTATTTTACAAACTTTAAGCACCTTATAAATGTCCGTAATCACTAAATCAATGTTCCCACAGCACTAATTAAGAATAACACTTTTCCACAAACTAGGGGTACAGTTACCCTTGAACAGTGTAGAGTTCCAAAGGATATTATAGAATTAGTATATAGACCAAGGGTTCTTAATGTTTGTGTGTGTGTGTGTGTGTGTGTGTGTGTGTGTGTGTGTGTGTG